AACACTCGTTAATAAATTTCGCACAGTTACGTCTACCATCACCTCTGCCGTTTGTAAAGACCACCTTGAATCTGGCGTAATGTTTGCTTTTGATGTAATCGATGAGTGTTTTGTTAAATCCAAACTAAATAGTCTTAAAACAAACAAAGCTATTGGTTTGGACAACATCAGTGCCAGTGACTTGACGTTATCACAACAAGTTTGACTAAACTTTACAACCGGTCATTAGCAACCTCCGTCTTCCCAGCTGTATGGAAATGTGGCAAAATAACTGCATTATTCAAATCCGGTGACCGCTGCAATGCCAATAATTATAGACCAATAACTATTCTACCAACTGCTAGCAAAATACTTGAAAGAGCTGTTCATAGTCAAGTCTATAGCTATCTACTTCATGAAAATATCCTGACCCCGAAACAATTTGGATTCCGCCCTAAACTCTCCACGGCAATTGCTCTCACCTACTTCACTGACAACATTCTGGATAATTTAGACAAAGGTTCTATCGCCGGTGCAGTTTTCTTAGATCTTTCGAAGGCCTTCGACACGGTTAGTCACGATCGTCTCATACAGAAACTTGGCACTATTGGTTTTTCACAGCCAACAATCAACTGGTTCTCTTCTTATCTCTCTAATAGTTTTCAAGTCACTTCTATTGGCCTTGAACAGTCGTCCACTCAACCAGTACATGTCGGAGTACCCCAAGGAAGTATACTGGGTCCTTTACTGTTTCTTATTTATGTGAATGAAATTCCCTCCACTGTTAATAACTGTGACATTTCCCTGTATGCAGATGATACAGTCCTATTTTGCTCAGCTAAAACCATTATTGAATTGGAACAAAAGCTAAACTCTGACCTACAGAACTTATCTCGTTGGTTTGGTGCTAACCGTTTAACTCTTAACACTTCTAAATGCAAATTTATGGTTTTCGGAAGTAATGCCAAACTTGCCAAACTACAAAATATAAATCTTCTTATTAATAATAGCCCACTAAATCGTGTTGGATCATTTAAGTATCTTGGTATAACCTTAAATCAGACATTATTGTGGTCAGATCATATTGAAGCACTCTTTACCAAAGTTAATCAACGTCTTGGTATCATACGACGAGTTAAACACCTCCTAACTGTTGAATCTCGTCGTACTCTAGTAAACAGCCTTGTCATGCCGATCTTTGACTACGCTGATTTTGTGTGGGGTGATAAAAACAACTCTGTCCTGATGAACCACCTTCAAGGTCTTCACAACAAAGCCGCTAAAATCATTCTTGACGCTCATCCACTCTCGTCAGCCTCAGAATCCCTACGATCGTTAAATTGGCAGCCGTTAGCAACTCGTAGACACCTTCACCGTTGTCTAATCATGCACAAGTGTTTAAACAATGACATCGATTTTAAATTTAATTTCAAGTTCTCCTCTGACATCCACGGCTACAACACTCGTAACAAACAGAACATACATTTGGAACGCGTCAAGAAGAACTGGGGGAAGCAGGCATTCAGCTACCATGCTGCCAACGACTGGAATAGTCTGCCAGTGGAAATCCGAAATATACAGCAAATTAAAACTTTTAAAACTAAACTAAAGAAACATTTAGCTACATAGCCATAGGACTCACTACCGAACCGATTGGATGCGCAAGAACTTATAATTTATACGATATAACTTTTCATATATTCACTTTTGTTAGTTTTATATTTTTATTCTTTTTTTTTTATCAGGGCTCCACTGAAAATCACTTTCGTGAGTGGACCCCCTGACTAAATATTGTAATTATTATTATTATTATTATCTAAAACAAAAATTTTGCAAGGAACGTCTTCGTCAGCCATGTTTCAGCGAAGAATTCTTGGCTGCTAAGTTTCCGATTGTTCCCGTTCTGCGCATCAGTTCTGCTCATAACAATGGGGGACCCCCAGATATAAACATTGCCCAAATGTTGCATCTTTCGAACTTTTTTGAATTGAAACGTACAGTTTTTATTCCTTTACAAGTATAGCGAACCAGAAAAGTGTTAGATATTCAGTTAGTATATCATATTTTACAAATATTGCAGCTTAAAACGTAAACAAAGTTCGCGCATATGCACAGGGGTGATATAATCTTTAAACATCTGTTATACGATGCTGCTCAAATCTGTTCATTTAATAATTTATGTTCCATTGTTGTTGATGAACATAATTAACTAGGGTATTTCAATATTTTAGTGCTGTCACCAAGAATTCGAATTCAACCACAGGAAGATACAAAGCGCAGGGATGGAAAGGAGAAGGTGAATCAGGTGGTTGGCAATTTAACAGAGATTCGCCGTATACTGGTTCACCATTTTCAGAAATTGATGGCATACCCGGCTATGATGAAGATGGTTTGCCATCGAATACAATTTAGTAACCAATATTATCGCACGTCAATATATATCAGCAGCACTTTTATATCAGCAACATAATCAATATCACACTATCATTTACCAATGAATGGGAACGGTGTTTTTTTATTGGGAAATTCATACACTTAACCCTTCCAGGGCTATAGTTTTTCATAATTAATTTTAAGTCTGTTTTTATTAAAAAATAACACAAAAATTGCACCAACACAAGTACAATGATGAAGATGGTTAACCCTTCAATGTATACTAGCCATCGATATTATCGCATGTTATAATACACCTAATCGACCACATTACAGAATTACCAGTATATGTACAATATATTCAAGTGCATATAAAACATGATGCCATGGTTGAGAACATGCATGACTTATGCTAAGGACTAATTCAAATAAATTATTTCAACACCAGTTTGTGCAGTCAGGATCGCTCTAATCTGATGTGGGATGAAGAAATAGAACAGAATGTGCATTTAGTGCGAATAATTTTTATTTGGTGCAATTTTTCAACTGTCTGTTCTTGCCAAGGTGGATTTTTAAATATAATAATTGAATAATTTTAATTAAATAATTGTAAAACATGTTTTGTATTTTTTTCGTCCTTGCATTTTAAATTGTTTAAATTTGTGTTTTTTCTTCTACACTCTCTATCCTTTAGTGAATTTATTCTCTCGAAATGCATGCTTAGGTCCTATCATTACGAAACGATGGATGATACCATGTATGAGTCTGATTTCAGTTGTAAAAACTACGAGGCTTATTATTTGCCATGCATGCAGTATAAGACTCACTTTCGTTTGTCGGTTAGTGGAAGAAATTACAATTAGGAACATGCAGAAGGACAATCTTGTCAAATATATACGCCCTCCTGGACAAAGCATGCAGAAGCTTTAAATATAAAAATTTATCTATATTTGAAAAATTTAATGCCTTGAAGACAACAATGCAAATTTCCATCTTGAATACAAATTACAACACTAGAATTACTGAAGCAGAACAGAATAACAACGTTGTTCATAATTCTGGATACAACAAGCTTCTGCCACGTTTTTGCTTGATGAATGTACGATCCTTGCTGCCGAAAATTGACGAACTGTCTGCCTTTGCGTCATCTACCCCAATGGACATCATTGCCATTACTGAATCGTGGTTAAACGAAGACATTGATAATAATATTTTATCTATCAATGGCTTTAATATACACCGCAATGACAGGTCTACTGGTCGTGGCGGTGGTGTTTGTGCATACATATCTTCGCATATCCCCTCGAAAAGAAGGCAAGATCTCGAGAATGCTGCTTATGAATGTATGTGGGTTTGGCTTCGCCCTTACCGCCTCCCACGTCCGTTGTCCGGAATAATGTTAGGCCTTGTTTATTGTCCTCCGGACGCTACTGCACAGAAACAGAACGATCTTGTTGAATATATTATTGATAGTGTAGACCTGATTCGGTCTGCACATCCTGATTGTGGTATTGTTATCTCAGGCGACTTTAATTGCTTAGATATCACTGATATTTTGACGAACCATAATCTTAAACAGGTCGTTCAAGATCCAACCAGAGGTAACAATATACTAGACCTAATTGTGACGAACTTATCTCATCTGTACCGTGCACCGGTTATTTTTGCTCCTCTTGGTAGATCTGACCATAATACTATCATGTGGTCTGCAGACACCAGTTCTAATAATACAGTCAGGTCGCGCGCAACAAAGCGTTATGTGCGTCGCTTCACACAATCATCATGTCAGGCTTTTGGTAGGTGGTGCAGTACTCATGAGTGGTTCACAGACATCCAGGAACCCGTCAGTGCTACTAACCTGACTGTGTCTTTCACTACGGAGCTTCATTCAGCTATCGACCAGTTCTTTCCGACCAAATTAATCAAAATCCACGATACTGACAAACTGTGGATGTCACCTATCCTGAAGCAACTTATTATGAAAAGACAAAGAGCCTTCCATAGCGGCGATGAAGCGTTATGGCGTCATTATAGGAACAAAGTGCAGTATGAGATTCGTTCACGGAAACACACTTATTATGTTAATAAGGTCCAACACCTAAAATTCTCTAATCCTAAGAAATGGTGGGACTGTGTCAAACAAATTTCTGGGAAAAAGAAGGCGTCATCTACGCCTATTAATATTATCAAGGACGGCGTTGCTCTTTCTGGGACCAATCTTGCTAACGTAGTAAACGACCATTTCCTGTCTATCAATGCTGATCTTCCACTCCTCGATCTTGGTTCCCTACCAGCTTACTTACCTGCTCCTCAGCCGGTTCCAATAATTACACCTATTGAGGTCTGTCATAAACTCCTCAAAGTCAAGCCTTTTAAATCGCATGGCCTGGACGGTATTCCAAACCGCGTAATTAAAGAATTTGCATATGAACTAGCTGAACCAGTGTGTATCATCTTTAACGAGTCATTATCTTCGAGCATAGTTCCATCTGATTGGAAGGACGCTAGCATAACTCCTATTCCTAAAACTCAGTCTGTATGTTGTGAGGACGAACTCCGTCCAATCGCCCTTACCGCATGCTTGTCCAAGATCCTCGAAGACTTCGTTGTAAGATGGATGATGGATGATATCAGAAGCAAAATAGACCCCAAGCAGTTTGGCAGTCTAAATGGTTCATCTGCAAGTTTTTGTTTGATTGATATGGTAAATAATTGGCTGCGTACCCTTGACGCCCCCTCGCACTATCTTAGAGTATGCTTTTTAGACTTCAGTAAGGCGTTTGACCGGATAAATCACAACATCCTCATTGGAAAACTAATATTACTTGGCGTTAGAAGATGCATTATTCCATGGATCTGTGACTTTCTTTCTAATCGTCGTCAACTAGTTAAAATTGGTGGATTTCAGTCAGCATGGGGAAGTGTTAACGGAGGTGTCCCACAAGGAACTAAGCTGGGACCGATATTATTTCTTGTTATGATTAACGATCTAGAACTAAAGTCTCCACATACAAGTCACTGGAAATATGTTGACGATCTTACTCTTTCTGAATCTCTATCTATTCGTGACCAATCGACATTACAATCTGACCTAGATGAAATACAACAATGGGCAGAGCAGAATGACATGCGTTTGAATGTTAAGAAATGCAAAGAAATGGTGATTAGCTTTTTAAGACAAAGTCCAAACATTGTCTCCCTGCATATCAACGGGAATCCACTCAGTATCGTATCATCATTTAAAGTACTTGGTGTCACCTTTAATGACCATCTGAAGTGGAATGATAATGTCAACATTCTCGTGAAGAAAGCTTCTAAGCGCCTGTACATTTTGCGCATATTGCGAAGAAGTGGCGTTCCATCGGCTGACCTGCTGCCAGTTTTCATTGCCCTGGTACGTTCAGTCCTAGAGTACGCATGCACAGTTTGGCATACAAGCCTCCCAAATTATCTTTCAAACAATATTGAACATGTTCAGAAGCGTGCCTTGCGTGTATTATACCCAGGTCTGCATTATATCGACGCACTCCAAATAGCCCAAATCCCTCGCTTAGACACTAGGAGACACGATTTGTGTACGAAAACCTTTGAGAAGATTGCTAAACCCAACAACCGACTGAACCACCTTCTGCCACCAACACGGGTGGCCGCGCACGGACGGACTTTGCGTAATAAGGACTGTCTGTCTCTGCCAAAGTGTCGTACTAATAGATACAAAAATAGTTTTATTCCAGCAATGTGCTTTGAGTTAATGAACAAACTTCAATGATAGTTTAATTAGTTGTATATTATATATATATATTTTAGTTATATATTATATATAGATTTTAATATTTTAGATAATTTATTGAATTTATGTAAACATATCATAATTCATTGTATTAATGCCAAGATATGTGAATAAACCATTTATTATTATTTATTATTATAAGATTGTTTTAAATATGTAATCGATTAATCTTATTTTAAGAAAATATTTCTTATTTCAAGAACAAAAATCTTACCCAGCAGGCCAAAGCTAGAATAGTTTTCATAACATGTAATTAAATTCCTTATAGTATTTAACCTGTAAAATACAAAATAACAGTAATTCAGAATAACATTTTGATTTTTAAACGACGCTTCGACTAGTTTGTGGTCATCCTCAGGATTAATAAATAATTAATGAATGATTAATTAATAATGATTAATAGTGATTATTATAAATTAGACTTTTAAAACATTGGGGCTGATTGGTCAAAAGCTCAAAAAACCCGTGTTTCTATAATTCCATAGAAACACGGGGAAATTGTATGCGGGTTACGTGGATTGCGCGGGAGTATAAAAGACAAAATACAAACAATATTTAATTTTGAAAAAAGTTGAAAAACGTCCCGAAACGCCGAACAACCATTAAAAAAAAGGCAACACTGTCACTTTGCTAACTTAGAAAGCGAAGACCTAAAGCACAAAGTAAAATAGGACACGTTGTATCTGTTTGACTGTTTACCAAGCTGGTCCAAGGTAAGAAATTTTAATTTTACTTTGTCTTTTTAAAAAAATATCTCCTCGCGACGTTTCTAATCCTGTTTACTATAGTTTTTAATCATGTTTAAAGGTTCACTGAATATTTAAAACAGTGCTTTGTTTGCATGCAAGCATGTACGTTGTTGAGTGAATTATATACTTAGTAAAGTAAGCCTGTTAAGTGCTGTCTGTTGTTTTGACAGCGATATACTTGTTTACTTCGCTATGGCTTGCTTTTATAATTATTCTTTACACGAACGTATATTAAGGTGGAATTAATATTTGAATGAAAGCTGCAATTAAAATCAATAAATTTATCTTTTCTATTGTTTTTAAAAGGCTATTTAATAAAGGAAACAGAAAACATTTTTTCCCTGTTCCTATAGAGTTTATAGAAACAGTTGTGAAAGTTTGGGAGAAACTCGAAATTGCGTGGAAACACTCGCACTTCGTGCTCGTGTTCCCACGCAATTTCTCGTTTCTCCCAAACTTTCACTCATGTTTCTATAACTCTATAGAAACACGGAAAATGTTTTCTATTTCTTAAATAATGATTAATAATGATTAATTAATAATGTTATTCGGAGGTACTGTTATTTTGTATTTTCTTAAAATACTGAGTGGTTCTCGTAATTATTTAATCTGTGGTACAGTGATTTGGTGACGAATGAACGAATTGCTCTGCTCGTATCAAACGAGCGGACAAATTGGGCAAATCGAACGGCTTTGCATGTGCATCATATGGCAAAGTATTAACTAGGTGAAAGATAAAACTCGTATCAAATATACGTAATTCATTGTGCTAGAAAATTCGTGACAAGGACACATTTTACAACTCGTACGACCCGTATCTATGCGGCAGTATTGGACATGTGTGCTTCCAGCCTAATATAATACCCATAAATTCAATTATTTGTAGTGGACCTTGACTTTTACCAGGGGCAACTGGAATATTTCGGTTTTTGAACGCAAGCAAGATGACTTACAAACTTTGTTGACAGAGACTCTCGGGAGGTGCGATATCTGCAGACGAGGCTTCGATTATTAATTAGTTCATCAAAGG